CCTCTTGTTAACTGCACTGAACTTGTTTGAAATGAGGCAACCTACTGTTTATTTGAATAGGCAGTGTTTGGCATTGTACTGCAATTACCCACTGATGTCCTACTAGGTATTCACACAAGATTTCCCACCAAACAACCTTGCAAGGCCTCTGGTTCATGTTTCTTTGTGTTATATCCCATCCTGGAAACAACTAACCTAACTATGGTTCACATTTTCTTTTGTTATATCCCATCCTGGGAACAACTAGCCTAACTATGGTTCCTGTTTTCTTCTGTTATATCCCATCCTGGGAACAACTAGCCTATCTATTTCCATTTAACTGGAACAGAATTATATCCCAATAAGAACCCAACCTTTAGTCTCTGTAATCACAGTCAGCACTAGCCCACCCCCATCCCCAATTACCAGTATATACCGGTATCTAATTTGATATCCACATTGCTTCCTCATCAAGAACAGACTAGGTACATGTATCATTGATTAGAGTGCTGTACACTTTGGATCAGTCGGTATTCCTTCGTGCGAGAGGGATATGACTCCTTTCAAACAATAACAGACGCTGACAGGGAAAAAAGTGAACCCTTTTTTTATTGTACGTCCACATGCAGGGTCTAAAATTTTCTGCGATTCAATGGAAATATCAAAACTCCATCCACCCTTTTCCTATCACATCATTTCCCCGCTCTGCGACTAACAAAGTAAGATGTCGTTTAAATATTCATGTGCCAGTACGTGTATGGAGATTGTCCTCAAATCAGACATCTTTTTCTCCATTTTGAAAGCCTTCTTTCAGCTAAATTTTGTTAGAACAATACACTGATGGCGTTAATTATTAATGTAAGAACCTTGTGATTGTACCTGTGTTTCAAACTGCACCTAGTCAATTTTTAACCAAAAGAAAACTGCACTGAACCAGGTTGAGCCACCGGTACTTTGTTGTGCCCACAATACTACAACTACCAGGTACTAGAACTTTTGCTGGACATGCATACAGTCTGTCTCATTATCTGCATACATTATCCTTGGATCTGAAGGATGAAATCCACAGGGCTGCCCAAGATAGAGTCAATTGGAGGAACCTTGTTACTTTTTAGCTGTGCACAACCATAAAGGTAGGAAACACCACAGACCCTGTGTAGAGGGTCCAACCAGGAAACACACAACCAGCAGCTGGGCAGCAGACTGTTGGGTTATTCATGTTATTAATTTTATTCCTTAGAGTAAGTAACCACATCCACTTTTAGCACTGTGCTGGGACCGAAGTCTGATGCCTTGCACTGATTAATAGCACGAGGGCAAAAAGATGTCTGTGATTGAGACAATTTTTACAATACTGTCTAGACGCACCCTACAAACTCCTGCTCAATCCCCTGCTGGGCCGTTTCCAACAAAATGCAAGAGAACTCAGGTCCTCCAATCCATATCACAACTTGACTCTTCACAGCCACTTTCCACATGTTTGCAACATGGGGACATTTTTCTACATGTATGTATGCACTTACAGAGGTTTTGCGAAGAAGCCATCTTGCAGGGCAGTTCCTTTGTTCCAAAGAGAAACATCCTTTGTGCATGTACTTGTGGAACAAAAGCACCCGCCTGCAAGACGGCAGCAAAGCAAACCCTCTTTTGGGGATTACCAGAAATTCACTTATACCCCCCCCCGTACACACATTGTACAATAAGTTTTACCCTTGATCAGTCATGTTACCAGCAATGCAGTCATCAAGTTTTATGTACCTACTTTTAACAATGTACCAATCTACAAGTAAATGGTGCTATCATTTTGGAGTCACTAAACACAACTTGGACTAGGGTGAGATTAGAAGATGAAATGTCCACAAAATAACTACCAGAGGTTTGGACACCGTCGGGTACATAAATGTACATTTCTGTTTGCCTAAAGTATCTCCTAAAATATCCATTTCTTGTTTTCTATTTCAACTTTTATGCGTAGAGTATGATCTAAATGTTTCTCCTTAAATATCCATTTCTTGTTTTCTATTTCAACTTTTGTGTAGGTATGATCTAAAAGTATCTCC